TCACATGTGTGAGGCAAGCACTCTGCCACTGAGCCACAACCCCTAGCCCTGGGAAGTTTTTTTTTTTTTTTTTTTTTACAATTAAATTTCTAATCAATCTCAGTTTTAATCTTGCATATGATATGAGTTATGGCTGTTAACTCTCTTGAAAAGTATTTCAGAAATTCCACACTGCCTCGGATTTAGCATTTCACTTAAAATACTCACAAGACTCAGTAGCAGGTTATACCCAAGAAAGAGGTTTATTACAGCAAAGGATACAAAACAAAAGCAGCAGAAAACATACTGGCAGAGTCCAGAGGGGCAGACATACTTTCTGTGTCTTTCTTATCCAGGGCCATACAGAACATGCTTTCTTTGTAGCAGCCAATCATAAGGACACATGTGATATGTTTGAGTTTTAGGGTCTCAGACTTTTATGGGGGCCTAGTCATATGGGAGACATATCCTGCTACCCAGCCAGCCATAGCAACTAAAACTCAGGTCTCCAACACAAAACCAGGTGCATGCGCATCATAAATCTTGATGTTTGTACAAAGCAATTTGACAGACTGGCACAGCATGGTCTGTTGCTCCAGGTGCACACAAGCAAATCATCAATTATTGACATTTAAAAAAAAAAATGTTAAAGGCCATACTTCCAGAGGTTGACCAAAGGTCAATCATAGTTCAAAGTTCCCTGAACACAGAAAAGAATAAGTAACCAAACATGCTATTTTAACTCTTTTCTCACAAAATGATTAACCATTTTTCCTAAGCACTTTCATGAAAGAGTCTATCTTTGCCTCAGTGATTTGAGATGTCATCTTTGACATATACTGAAGTTCCATATGTACTTTTGTTACAGAGCTGGGGACTTCCAGGAAACTGAGGCAGTGTAAAGGCCCCTTTCACGCCCTGATTCTTGTGATAAAGTCAGAAAGATTTCAGACATGTCACTTAGAATAACAGAAATGAGTTTATTGAAGGGATAGGAAAAGGCAAGGGGACACTCAATGGAGAGAGTGGGTCCTCTCAGAGAGGGTTAGGACAATGTGCACCTCCTGCAATTCAGTTTTCTTTTTAATATTTTTTTAGTTGTAGATGGACACAATACCTTTATTTTTATGTGGATTGAGGATCGAACCCAGTTCCTCATGTGTGCTAGGTAGGCAAGCGCTCTGCCTCTGAGCCACAATCCCAGCCCCTCTAACCATACATTTTTATGGATTTAATGGTTAAATGGTTAAATGGACTATCCTCCTGGTTAATGGACTATCCTTATCTCCCAGAGTTTCAGGGTCTAGTCACAAAAGTCTCTCTCTTCAGGGTAACTTGGATTCCCTTTATCAACATTATTTTGGGCCTGTATTTCTCCTGCAGTTTGCTGAAGAATGTGACATATCTTGTTCACTTAGGCCACTTAGGTCAGGCAGGGCTGCAGGCAAATTGCTTTTTGGCAAAGAAAGCATGTGGGGGTCAGCACAGTGGGCCCATTTTATAGAATTATTCTCTTAACCTCTTGTTCCCATCTTTCTAATCTGTCCCCTAACACTTTTATTCATTTCTGGGCTCTCTGGTTTGTCTGTTTATTCACACAGTAAGACACACAAGATTTTCATTAAGGAGGCCTTACTATTTGGTAGAGGTTGTCCATTCTGTAGCTTTTGTTTACAGTGTTTTCCTGGCTATTCTTTTTTTTTTTTTTTTTGTACAGGGATGCTTACTGAACCACACTGCCAGCCTTTTTAAATATTTTATCTAAAGACAGGGCTTCCCTGAGTTGCTCGGTACCTCCCTAAATCTCTG